ATATTATGAATATTTACGCCGTACGAAAAAACTGTTTAACATAATATTTAAACAAACCTATTTATAATGCAGTAACAATTTTTTTCGGTAGTTTAGTTTTGGTAAGACGCTTTAAATTTTATAATATTAAGTATAATAAATTTTACTAATTAAATTAATATACATACCGACGTCACGGAGATTATTTGACGATTTCTGTGCACTTGCGAGCAAAACAAGGGAAATTAGGAAAACACTAGGAACGTTGTGGAAAAACGACATTTTTCACGATTTATTAGTATGTAACTAAAAATAATAATATAATAAGAATGTAATTTAAAATCGTTTGTAACAAATCGAATTCAGGGTTGCGAATTAAAATTCAAATTTAGAAGCGCGATATCATTTTCGGTGGCGGCAGTTTCGGACGTGCGTCGCGTACTTTGAAATGCGTTCGTACTGAAATGCTGCGGTCGCGCAGGTGCGGATCTTAAAAGCACGGTCCGCGGCAAGTATAATGACCTAGTAATTGCCTCTATCATCTGCCGATTATATCAGTAACAATCACATTTACAATGCACGTTAACGTTATAATTTGCACTTAGTCGGTGTCACTTTGGTGACAAAAATCATTGAAAAAATCATTTTATACCTACCTTTTATTTTTGGAAAGGCGTTAACACCTAGTAACTTATTGCTAATGTCTACATTCATTGAAATACAAGTTAAATATTAATTAAAATTAGTCACATGTTAATTGTCTCTATTAAATATTGTTGTCAATTAAAACATTAACTAAATTAGTTCTTAATTATAAGTATTCACTTCCTCTGGCAATTTTTGGCCTTAGCCGACAGACCGAGGATTCTAACGACCGAATAAAATATATCAAAATTTGTAATAACGTTATTAGAGATTAAAAATAATGATATTATTTTATATTTACCCTATTATTTAATTAAAATTTTTAATACCGCGACGGAATGTTTTTTATAATGCCTTAATATAATCTATATATTTTTATAGTTGAATTTCATAACTTTATTTAGCTAATATTGTTCTTAGACATCGGACGCAGTGAGTAATTCTAAAAACAGCTTTTTCTTTTTAGTTATTGCATAGTTCTTTCGCGGGCTTTGAGCGCGGCGACCGAATCAAGAAATTCCGTAACGAAAAAAAACCTTACACACGATGACGTAATATAGGTGTGGCCAATACGCGTTAGAGCGGGACAGAACGCATACTGCGGCTCACATCGGTCTGGCGTGATCGGTGACGTAGCGTAAGCGCGGCCGGTGCAGCCGGTACGCGTTAGAGTGAAATAGACTTAGTCTGAGTCTGGTAGAGTGGTAGATTGAATTAATATCAAAGAAAAAGAATACTGCATTAATAAAAAAAAATATAATTGCATAAGTTGATAAAAAATGCTATGCAATAGCTTTACCGCGGCAGTCCCCGAGTGCCACACGTATTTTTTTTATTTCACTCACAAATGCTCGATAACTTTTAAATACGAACACGTTTTATTTTCATATTTTCAATTTATTTTCATATTGTCATTTTAGAAGCTCTGAGGTATAATTATTGTGCGAAATTGTTTATTTCTCTCATATTAACTTTATTATTCATGAAAGCCTCAATGAGTCCTGGGGGTCTAGCCAAGATGGCTTAACAGTAGTGTATGTAGAAAGTCGAAAACTAAATTTGTATGAAAATGACAGCTCGTGTCGACAGTCGGTAGCCTAGGCCCTAAAGGCGTGAGTTGGGATACAATAAGCGACGCCATGACAGTGCTACGAAAAGACACACATTAACGCTTACGCTATTCGGTAGCCAACGGCCAATCAATGTTTCGGCAGTGTAGAAAAAACGGCGTTTCTCCGCCATGTTTTAGCGTGATCTCAAAAGCTGCTGTTTGCAATAATTCAGTACAACTATTGCCATCTTTAATGGCTACCGTTTTAAAAACATGTCATATTTTGGACGTTTTAACGAAATGGTTTTAATTTGTTATCTGTCTTTTTTTACGTTCTCGTGTAATTATAATAATTTAAACTAGAGTTAATATTTTTAAGTTAAAAGTTTTAGCTTTTCTATAAATCAATGCGAGGATAACATAATAGACACAGATAAATATGAAAATATCAAGAAAATCAGCAAATTAGTAGAGGTAAATCCTAGTTATATTGGATATCTTTTATTGATATTTATATTGCATGTAAGTTCATGAAATTGTTCTTTAATTTGAAAAATACATATACCATTTAATATTGCATATAATATTATGTAATCACAAAGTAAAATGATTGTACATTTTATTTGTATATTTCAGATGAGAAAGCAGTCACTAATGAACATAATTAGAAGTTCTAAATATATTTTATTGTAATTATAATAGAAGCTGATAATGATATAATATTGATTTAAATTAATCAAATAAAGTGGATTTATACTTTATGAACTTTGGAAATATAAAATCTAGTGAGCAATACTAAGTAATGGTAAGCAGATATTTTCTTTAATTATTTACTAAGTCAATATACTAGAGAAGTTATTATAATATTGTTAATGAATGAGAAGTTTGATTTCAAGTCCCTTGGGAGTTACTGACATTGTTTGGTTATTAAAAACTTTAATTGACAATAAGCAGCAAAGTGACAAATTAAGTATATTTTTAAGTTTAGAATTAAGTAAAGAGTTTTAATATTAAAGTTACCTATTGAACAAACCTTGGACCGATCTTAGTTTAGTTTGTCAGTTTTCTATTTGATCAAAGTACTAACTAAAATATTTTCTTTTCAGAAAAAGAGAAGCTAATAAGACAACTAAAAATATTTAAATAAACCACAAATGGACAAGATTTATTAAAGTCTTATCTTTTAATTAATTTAAGTGTTATATTATGTACCTGAAAATGAATTTGATAATGGGGAATGAAGCATTTTATGAATAATGTAAAAAATAAGACAAGTAGATTATGAAATAATGGTTGGTTAAGTAACATTACCTCATGAACAGGAAACAGGAACTGAAACTATGTTCTTCCACATTTAATCTTAATAAGTTCAGCAGTTTGAATGTTAATGAGATATTATTATAAACAAACTGGATTTGTAGATTTTGGGAAGAATTATATCTTTAAAATAACTATTATTATTTACAATTGTTGTGTTAAGGAAACAATCACTGTTTTTTTAATCGCCCAGGATGTATTCATAGTAACTGTAGGTATCATAGTAATTTTATGAAATCATCACAACATCTAACGTTAGGTTTTATGAATTGAACTATTTTTTGTATATTGCACACAAACAAGATATTGACTTTGCTGCAAATTAACACTTACATTTATTAGTTAATTATCTACATATATAAATATGAATAATTGAATACATCTACATTAGGTAGTTATGCATTGAATTTGGTACACCTGTGTGTGTTCAGTAGTAATGTAATGTTTGTATTGTTTAATAAGTTGTTACATATGCTTATTTTTCTATGTAGACTGCATTATGTTAAGGAAGATATTTGGTGCCTTATTTTAATAAAAAATAACCATAACTGAAACATTTTTATTTTGCTACCTATTTGTTTAATATTCCTAACTATTAGTAGGTACGGGTCATTCATATATGCATTATCTGTATATTCTTGTAAAATAAACTAATATTGTTAACCACTTTAATGGCTTTTCCTACTAAAGAAGACATAGGTAAATTACCAAAAATAAAACTGACAAATACATAACATACAATGTTTATTCACTTCTCATTTATACAGATTTTGCATTTACATATTAACTAGTAGCAAATCACTGATATAACCAAAAGTTAATTGACATAAATATTAACTTAAAATCAGTATAAATTTATTATAAACAATCAATCTTTATGACTCTAACTTAAACTAAAATTGTTTGTTGGACATAAACAGAGATAATTCCAACTAGTAGCAAATCAATAATAAAATCTACACATATTTAAATCTGCTTTCAAATTGACATTAAAAATGTTCAAGCACAAACACCAAACCTAATTAAAGCTTAAATCAAACTCTAATTTCAGTGTTCACACTAGTTTACGTATTTTTTCTATTGTTTTTTAATTTCTTGGACTATCCTTCTATTTCTTATCAACTTCTAGTCAACCTTATTTTCACTCTTTATTTATCAATCCACAGTACTATTTCTATTGTTTCTTCTAAGCGGTAACAAAATATGTTGCTTCTTCATTTTGCAGATTAGTTGTGAATCAAGTCAAATCCTAAAAATATCAAAGTATGAGTACTACTTATTATTATATATCGCGATTATGCAATTTCAAAATATTGTATTTATTTGTAGCCTTAAATTTCAGAGAAAACATGAAACAAACCATAAGTAATTTAAACATGCAATTAAAATTCATATATTCACTTTACACCTTCCGTAAATTCCACTTAAATCGAAAATTGTTACGACCTTGCTGACATTCTAATGTCCCTTTTGCAGCTTCCAATAATTGGAATTTGCAATTATTGCAAATTAACAATAATATTGTAGTTTTAACTTTTATTTGTTTATAAAAGTGACATTAGGAATATATTTAATCCAGAGACAATATGACGGAATAAGGTGCTACGAACAGCAGCTCGCATCTACGCTGTCGACTTTGCGGTAATGTATCGACATGCCTCTTGGCTACGAACGAAGCGTTTTCGACAGTACAATTACGCAAAAGCGGTAGTGTATGTAGAATACTTTTCGACACCAATATGGCTAGACCCCTTGACCATTTAGTAGGCTACAGATTACAGTTGCCATATCAAACATTTCAAGCAAAATCAAACTCTAACCTAGTGAGCCAATGACAATTGATATTTGATGTCACTGTTAATGTCAATGGTAATTTTAGAATTCTGCATTCTGGAAAGTGAAAACCAAAAAGAAAACACGATTATCTCTGTAACGATTTAAATTTTGACTGATTTAACGCGTTTAAGAAGTGATTTTAACTAAGTGTCTATAATAACAGACAAAGTAAATGGCTGGCTTCACGGAAAACGCGTTGATTCGAAAACTGCAGGATTTGAATTCTAGCCAACAAAGTATTCAAACATTGTCACTATGGCTTATACATCATAGAAAACACCACGCTGCCGTAGTTAAAACATGGTATAAAGAATTACTGAAAGGTAAGCGAAAACTTCGACAATTTCAGCTAGACAATACAATATTTACGTGTTGCATCATTTTAAAAGCAACCATATAACCACTAAACACTAGGAGATGTTTCGGGTGTTCTGTAAGAAGCAAGCAATCATGTCAAGGAAAGTTACGCTAGTCGCTTGTATGTGTATTATGTATTTCTTGTTGTTTTATTTACTTCTGTGTAACAAAACATAACCAAGAGGTTATGATTTGTAACTTAGTTGAACCTTTTGCTATTCCTTTCCAGCAGGCTGAAGCTTGGCTTACATGCAGATTTTTATAGTATTGATATATCATTTTTCTTATGTAAAGTTTTATACATATGTATTATAATTATCACTTTATAGTATTGATCAAACTGCATATGACAATAAATATTTATTCTTTGCTAGCTAGTTTAAGGGTTTAATATTAGCAGAATCTCTTATCAGTTTAATCCATTGTAGGAACACTAAAATAGAAATTGAATACCAAAATATTTGTTCCCATTATTAAAAAAAATTAAAGATATAGTAGTATCTGACATGAATTATTTAAGTTTTAATTGCATACACAAGAGTAAGGCATTATGTATATCATTTAGATATTTACACCATGGAAATTAAAATAATTTTATGATTATTTCAGTGAAAGATAGTAAACAGCTTACATTTATGTATCTGGCTAATGATGTTATACAAAATAGCAAGAAAAAAGGTCCTGAATATGGAAAGGAGTTTGGTGAAGTATTAGTAGATGCATTTAAACTTATGGCAAAAACTGGTATCAATACAAAAACTAAACATTCCCTGCATAGGATATTGGGTATATGGGAAGAGAGAGGGGTATATGATGCAAATAAAATTCAAGAATATAAAGTTGCTGGTAAGTGTTACCTACATAGATATTACTCTACTAAACTTCTATTTTGTTTAGAGATGAAAGAAATACTGTGTAATGTTTTTAGTTTTATTGACCCCCCCATGAACTCGCCGTAACGTTTTTCAGTACCCAAGTACAGTACTGTATCCAAGGCTAGTAAAACGTTTCGTGACCACCTAGTGACTCTTTAGTTACTATTATGTGGTGTAAGTCGAAAATAATATTAACAATAACGCGTAATTCATTCCCCGCCCCACATCGTAACGTTTACAAAAGGACCCCCCCTCCTAAAATTCGTTACGTAATACTTGAACGCTCCCTATAAGATATTAAACTATATATTTTGTAATTTATAAAATATTTAATGAGGTTTATGTCTTTTCTTTACATTAAATATTGGACCACTATCCATTGATTGTCACTAGAAATGTTAATATATTTGTGATTATTTACAATAAGATAGGATTTCATAACCTTCCACATACATTATTGTCAGAGTTTATCAAAAAGGCATCTTTCATAATGATTCTTGCTATAAGATCATGAATCATGTGTCTCATTTTGCAATACCCTTCTTCACAATTAAGATTAAAAACCAGTGTGTGTAAATACTGCTGTAATTAAATAGCAATTACAGTTAATAATAAGTAATTAAGTAATGTATTTTAGTGTAAATATATGTTTCACAATAGGAAATTGCTCTAAATTAAAAGTTGTAGAATAAATTAGTACTCTTAGCAAGTATGTTTTACTAAACATTTTTTATAAGATAGTACTTTAATTATCTTATAAAACATTCTATACATGTTAGTTACATTTGCAAAGGTTGAATGTGGTGCAAAAATATTGACTAAAGCCAAGCACTGCAGTTCAACCACAGTTTTGATATACACACAACATATTACATATATTTTCACCTTTATGCGCTTTTAAAGAGGGTCTAACATTATATAGTAATGTGACTAAAATAATATACTATGCATTATTAACAAACCTACCATCACCTATATTAGAGCAGAGTACAAAGGGAAAGATACAGAGTCCAATTTAGCAAAAAGTGTAATGAAATTAAATATTCCCTCTTTATAACCAAAGTTTTCTTGAAACACTATATGATTTTCAGTTGATCCAAATGATGCTATTCCAAGTAAAGTTAGCAAGAGAAAGTCCATAGATACAGAGCCAAAAGACCCAGAGAAGAAACCAAAGTTGGAGAGCCGGGAAAAGGGTGAGAAAAGAAGGTATAGTGAGACCAAGGTTGAAGTGGATGGAAAAATTGAAACTCACATCACACTTAGCCCAAAGACACCTCCTGGTGACCCACCAGAACCTGAAGAACTTATTAAGGTGGGTAGTTTCATAAGTTTAACACTATATATAATAATGAGCGAAACTTAGGACCTCATGAACATCCAAACATGCATAATGGTCCAAATCTGAGATTTAGTTCTTTTAGACTTAATAACAAAACTGATATCTAAAATACATAGTATGCTTATGCTTTGTGTGTAAAGTTTTACTGAAAATGTGACAGACCAATTCTCGCTAGCACTACCCACAACCCTAAATGTGGTATTACAGGGAAGGCAACTGGGGCTATAGCGGGGGGACCCCACTATTGAGACTACGGAAAAAATCTTTCAAATTCCGTATAGCAACACACATTTTTGTTTATTAAATACTATAACAATTTCATTTCTCAGTAAATTATTAATGGAAACATCACTGAAAAAAAGTTTCATTTTATTTGCAAAATAATTTGGGACTCCTACACTCGTTGCTCCGAGGTCTCCAGACCTCTAGCGGAGATGGCCAATATTTGATGATGGCAATTAGCTCAGTGTCTGACAGCATTTCGCTATCAGTTCGCAGACGTTATTGTTTTACTTCTTTATGTACTAAACTATTCTTATATGCAAAACAATATCCCAGTAGACACATTTGTACGTCTGTTGTAACTGTTCCCATTGTAGTTGGGAAAAAAACAGAGGAGAGAATTTTAGTGTAGGAACAAGACTTTATATCCAAAATTGTAAGTTATATAGGATTTTCTCTTAACTCGTAGAAATCACAAATAATAATAATCCAGTACCATGTGTCATGGCCTCAGATTGCATACCTTTCTTTTCCCAATTATTTATAGACAAGTAGGTGCTCAGCCCTCGGTGTTTGACATATGTCGTCGATTTTTGGGCTTCCTCACGATATTTGCCTTCACTGTCAGATAATTGCGCCTATAAAAAAACTCCATGGGTGAAACGCCGTTTTTTGAATGAGGTCAGGGTTGAGGATCGCACGCTCCAGCGACGAGGGACTCCCTACTGGTATTTTATCCCGAGTCATATGTAATACCTGATTCTTTTCACAGGCATTGTTAGAATTGGAGTCTAGTGCCTCAAGCGATGAAGCAGTGCGGGAAAGAATCGCCTCCCTCCCACCGGAGGTCTCCGAAGTGCAATTATTGTCGAAATTGGAAGGTAATAACACACATTTAGTATATGCATACTGTAAAATATATGTAATTACAGAAATAAATATGTACGACATTCAATTGTTTTATTTACACCGAAGATAATGACCTCTATTCACCCTCAGGAACTTAAAAACACCTAATTTAAATAATATATTGTTACGGAGCTTGTTATTCTTGCAATATTATCTTGAAATGATGTGGGAAAGCGTATCTAGAAGGGTAAATAGACGTTATTAGAAAGCACTAGGAATAACTCTATTTTATTTAGATTTAGATATTTAGCGTTTTTTTTTCCAATTAGTTCCTTTACAATGTTCAGTTACATTATATTTATCAAGCATAGAAGTGTGGAAGGGTGGTGCTGGCACCGCAAGCGTGACGCATGATTAAATAATCATAATTAGATTTGGCATTATGAGAGATTTTATTTTATGGCGGTTAGAATTTTAAACCCTATTTGTTAAAAGCGATTTGCGAAGTAAATTCAGTATGTTTTATTCTTACACTAGTAGAAAGCTCTCTTTGTGAGCATTTTTATTTCGTATTAAATTTCCCAATTCCTCAAATAAGTAAATCATATTATGCCATAATAATTGCGCCTTTAGATAGTCATGATCGAATTTTATTAGGTAGTTTCGGCATGATATTTTAGAGACAAGCTCATCGATGTTAAGTGATGATGCCGCCCATGGACAGTCATGCAGCCAGAGGGGTCGCAAGTTCAATAACAATTAATATGTACATACAATCTAGTTAAACTTACACACCTAATATATGTGTACATTTTATATTTTAATTATAGATAAAGAGGCAGCCCTAAACCTTAGTACAGTAGTTAATTCGGCGGTGGAACTACTCGCCGACTACAATTTACGTCTCGCAGACGAACTCGACAAAAGGCGGAAAGTGGCTGGCATGTTGAGGGACTTCGCCCAAGCGCAACGCGATCTTGCCAAACACGCGGAAGCCAGACTTGAGGTGAGTTTTTAATAATACGATTGAACATCAAAATTCTATGAAATAAATTTTTAAAACGCCAATGACGCTTCTACTCTTAGGCCTTAGATTTCTATATCTGTTTAGAGATCATTAGCTCTTCGTAGCATGGGTGTATCGTGAATTTGTGGGGCTCTGAGCTATTACGGGGGACTTCCCAGACGCGAAAAAATACATCGACCGAAAACATGCGTCGGGGAATTACCCGATCTCAGAAATTCCTTATGATTGGATTTTTAAAATTTCAGTTATTTTTTAAATTTAAAATGTCGTCTCTTATTTTCAGTGGGAACTTGGGGCCCTTTGTTTCTATGGGGCCCTGGGTTGCAGCCCGAAAAGCCCTTAAGTAGATCCGCCCCTGTTTCGTAGGCTAGTAGGTGATCAGTCTTCTGTGCCTGACGCTGTCTATTTTTTGTATCTAAGGCATGCCGGTTTCTTCACGATGTTTTCTTTCACCGTACTAGCGAGTGAAATGCGCACATACAAAAGTCCTTTGGTGCACAGCCGGGGTTCGAACCTACTACCTCAGTCGGTTGAAAGTCACCACTTAATAAAAATAACGCTACGCTACGGCCGCACTGATATTCCTACTTTAATACATTTGATATTTCAGGAATACAACATAAAACTCCAGAAGTTGTATGCTGTGAAAGCGGAAGTGAAATCTCACATTGAGAGCCTTCCCGATGTTTCCCGCCTTCCAGATGTAACAGGTGGTTTAGCGCCTCTACCCTCCGCCGGGGACTTATTTAGCATTTAGCTGACTGAATCACGGAATAGATAAATGATTCATGGCTTATTGATTCAACCTAAATTGTAGGCACCGCGAGTGTGACGCAAGCGTAATGCGTAGTTAAAGTTATTTGAAATCCTATACAGATACCGGAAAACATCTTGAACAAATGTCCTTGCCTGCGCAGAAGCGATTTTTAGGTATCACTGGTAGGGGAGGCGGACGGTGGTGCGCGGCGGCGGGAGAGTGACGTGTCGATTGCGTGATTGGTAAATCAGTTGACGTCCCGCGCTGCGCAAACTTTCCCCCACTCCCTTGTTTAATGCTCAAGAAGTTTGCCGGTACCTGTACGATACATACAAATGCGATTACTAAATTAAAATTATATTAAAAGCTTTTCAATTTATCTACTCTGTGGTATTACATTTTCAGAATAAAAAGCTTTCGCTATACATAAATTGTAAGTCTATATTACTAATCGTTATTTCTACGAGTCGTTTATGCGTAACAGCCTGGTTTAAATCAAAGGCGACGCAACATTTTAGACAAATTAATTGCCTTTAAAGTTATAAACATAGAATTACTATTCGTAGCAATTCGCTAGTAACCGTTATTCAACCTAATCCCTTCATTTTAAGAAAAATAGTTCCTCAAATTAGTATTTAAACTAGACGCGTGTATGTTATGAATTCATGTGGATGGTATTATGCAATACATTAGTATTTTAAAGCTACAAAACTTTTCTTTAATGATTTTCAATAAAACTAGGAAAAATGACTCAGTGAACTGATTTTCAGCAACTCTTGCAGTGTTAATTATTTGCTATTATTGTTTTCTTTTGCGTGTTATATTTCTACATACTGGCTTTTTATGTATTAACATTGTATATACGCGGCTGCTTGCCAGATCCATGCGATTTCGATACAAAGACCCCTCAGATATTGTCGTCATGATCGTGGAACAATGCCGGATTTCGAAAAATCCAAAATCCACTTTTATACAATATTTGGATACTGCATTGACTAAATATTACGGCTACATTTTAAAAAAATCCCTGTGTTTTAAATTTCAAGTTAATCAGTCGGTAAAGTGACGGATTTGATGAAAGCATGTGATTTTTCTAGAAAACTGTGCAATTTAATGTTATTGTTTTTTTTCAAAACAAACCCTTTTGTGGCTTGTATACCAATTTTCATAATAGCAGAATATGAATTAAAATAGTTATGACAAAAACTAACATGATTATATTATGTATTTTGAAATGGCTGCCCTGTAAAGTTTACTATTTGTCAGATCCGTCACTATTCTACGACTATGACGTTGTGTGCTGCGATATTGAGGGCATGCATGGATCTGGTTGGCTGCCCCTTAAGTTGATTGTCCTCATTTTAACATGTCTAATGTTTGTGAGAAAAAAAATGGTGCATGAAAAATATTTTGTTGTACAAAATTTAATGTAAAGATTACATTTTTCAGATTGAACTGGTTTGAAAAACACGAATTAACGGCCAAGAATTAAACACAGATTTTAGGTAGAAAGCACATTTTTTATTCAATTCCATTTTGGCATCTTTGACTGTATAGCAGTATTCTGTTACGATCAATAGCGATAGCGAACACGACTTCAATATTGAATTATTGTGCGCGATCCCAAGGTAAGACGAGCTATTGAACTTGAAACGAATCTATCTTGCAACAATATAGAATTCATTAATCATTATTTATAATAATGATAGCTATTAAATATACTAATGATATATTTCGACTTTATAATTGCATTATACCATCCTATACGTTGTATTTGGAATGTTTTGGTTTGATGTATTTAAAGCAATAAAGTATCGACTGACCCGAATGTTCTATTTGTAATAGTAAAAAGTGCTCTTACATCGTAGTATAAGAAAGTTAAAAACTATTATTTGTAAATACTCGTATATTAGGGAGCGTTCAAGTATTACGTAACGAATTTTTTTTCCTTTTGTAAAACGTTACGATGCGGGGCGGGGATTGAATTACGCTTTATTGTTAATATTATTTTCGACTTACACCACATAATAGTAACTAAAGAGTCACTAGGTGGTCACGAAATGTTTTACTATACCCGAGTACAGTACTGTACTTGGGTATTGAAAAACGTTACGGCGAGTTACATTGGGGTCAGTAATCTCCAAAAAATGCGTTACGTAATACTTGAACGCTCCCTTCCCTCAAATCATTTGATGACATTTTGGTCAACTGTACTCGGAGTTGTACAAATATCTATCATTAGTTTAATCATTACTACGACTGCCCGACTTTTATGCCCCTTTAATCGAAATATTTTACAATTGTTAGATCGAGAACTCGTTTTTAACCTTCTAAGCTTATGTTAACAGTTAATGAACGAGTCTGAGTATGGCAGTTTTAAGGACTACATTTAAGATGCATTTTTTAATTTAGTGTTTGGCTATTTGTGATTTTTTTGACCAAATTGTAGTATCACCGTAAGTGGCCCCACGATATTACAAAATATACATATTGTTATTACATTACAATGTTGTTTTATTAATAAAAATAGTCACTAGAAATCACTTCACATGCTACGTGTGATGTATCTGTATGAGAAATGTGATACAGTATAATAATTATAATGACTTAGATTCTATGAAGAAGGGTGTACTCGTATTTGTGTACAAAATAAAGTATGCCCTTATTGGACATTGGAGTGGCCCCTACATAATAAATTAATGAAAAAACCACATTAATAGTATCCAGAATGCAGTGTGGAAGAAGGAAGAAGTTCCTAAAACCCAAAGGATCCTTAACCAGTCTAATCATTGACTGGCCCGAAGGCCGCAATGGCTAAGATCGAGAAGTTTTATCCGTATCACCTCGACCTCCGTCGTACCACAACTGAGCGTTTTCTAAGGCAGTTTTTTCTAAGTATTTCCAAAACAATTCGACTTAGGGCGAAAAGAAAAGAGCGTACCAATTCTTGAAAGGAAGGCAACGCACTTGCGAGCCTTCTGGCAGTGTGAGTGTCCATGGGCGGCGGTATCACTTAACATCAGGTGAGCCTCTACCCGTTTGCCTCATATTAAATTAAAAAAAGTTGTAAATATCCTCAGCGAAATAATTTCGTAAGGGAGCGTTCAAGTATTACGTAACGCAATTTTTGGAGATTATTGGAAAGGAGTTTGGTGAAGTATTAGTAGATGCATTTAAACTTATGGCAAAAACTGGTATCAATACAAAAACTAAACATTCCCTGCATAGGATATTGGGTATATGGGAAGAGAGAGGGGTATATGATGCAAATAAAATTCAAGAATATAAAGTTGCTGGTAAGTGTTACCTACATAGATATTACTCTACTAAACTTCTATTTTGTTTAGAGATGAGAGAAATACTGTGTAATGTTTTTAGTTTTATTGTTATGGGAGCGTTCAAGTATTATGTAACGCAATTTTTGGAGATTATTGACCCCCCCACATGTAACTCGCCGTAACGTTTTTCAGTACCCAAGTAGAGTACTGTACCCAAGTCTAGTAAAACGTTTCGTGACCACCTAGTGACTCTTTAGTTACTATTATGTGGTCTAAGTAGAAAATAATATTAACAATAACGCGTTATTCAATCCCCGCCCCGCATCGTAACGTTTTACAAAAGGAGAAACGAATCCTTATGTTATGTTTAGTTTGACAAAAATTGTAGGTGAATTTTGGGCGTTTGAATTTTTGTTACGTTTTAGAAAGAAACTATCTGGTGGGAAACTTACAAGTAATCTAATTGTAAACAGACACACACCCACACACATACACATACACACATACCCCATGTGGTTTCCTTATATATTGTAATGTATTGTATAAGATCTTCTGTCGATCCGTAGTGGTGGAGGCCTGATGACACAGGTACTCTTACCTTTAGCAGGCATCAGTCTCACACAGACTAGCTTTTTCCATTAACAGAAGTAAGAATATAACTGTCACTTGCTTATGTCCTAAGTTTAAGTTTTTTGTGAGAAAATAAATAAATAAATTGTGTGGCCGTGTGGGTACAACGGTTTTAAAGAATTCATCAGATTTTAATAAATAATAGCCAGTATTCACATTACACAATTAATTAACTCGATTTTAAGCATACAGACTACATCAGACAATTATATTTATTTAATTAATTGAAATAGACCTTGGAACGTACCTAAACCTTGGAACTTAAAAAAGCTTAAGTAGAATAAAATTGTCTAATAATGTAACTATCTAAAATTCAAAAATCGAGGCAATATGTCGGGATGCTCATCACCTACTTTTCAATAAAAAAACTGAGCAAAGTAACGAATGCAATCAGAGACCAAGAACCATATACCTAGTAGGTAGTCGCGCCACTGAATTTTTTTATTAAATTCTGTAGTAGTAATCTAAACTGTGTAATTCCACGGTTTTAACTTAAATATTATTTCGTCTCTTTCTGTGTTATTGTGTTTATGCTGTGATGAACTGAGTAACTTTATTTCGTTCAATAAAATAACATTCCGTAAATACAGAAAAGTTCATGTATTTTCTTTGAATAAAGAAAGTTAGTACGTCAGTGATCTTTGTTCTTTTTAGTATTTCTTATCTTTTTAACTTAATGCCTAGGTAACTACTCTCCATTGTGTCTAGATTTTGTTTCGTTTTTAAACAAACGTCCAAGTCTGGCAACCGTAGATAACATTTCAACACTCTTTGGTAAAGAACTGTTACTGTGATTTAAAAAGTTCCTCATGTGCCCTATATTTATTCCAGTTTAGCGCTATTCATCTATTTCTATCTACTCCTTCAACACCTCTTTCTTTTCGAAATTTGTTTGCCTAGTAAAACTTTTTTTTTCACGAGCAATAGTTAATAATATTAGAGGAAATAAAATATAATACTATGTTGTTACAATATATACCTATCTAGGAAATCAAATATATTTTAATAAATATAATAATGAGGCAAAAGTAGCAATAAGGATATGAAAAGTTAGGAATTTTGTTTCTGTTGTTTTAAAAAGAAATTACAGCCTAAATGTTTACTGTTTGGATACTAGCATCCTCCCATGCCTGGTCTATGGATGCCAAACCAGGGGGTTTAGTCAAGATGCCTAAACAGTAGTATATGTAGAAAGTCGAAAACTTAATTTGTATAACCCCCTGAACGTTTACGGAAAGAGTAAAGTCGAAGGTGATTAGTGCCCAGAGAGCGATAAAGCGAAGCATCCTTAGAATCAAAAAGATTCACAAAATACGAAGTGAAAGAGATCAGGGCGAAAACTAAGATCAACCCACAGATTCTACCGAGAACTATAATGTCAAAAAATTAGATCATTTGTGCTTCCTTATTTGCTCTATGTAAGTTTGGATTTTTTTTAAATGACACTGAACTTGCAGTCCTTGTCATTGAAGATTTTTGAGAACATTTATTAGAAATCATGAGCGATACTGTGGTAACTATTAATTAATAATAATCAATACATAACGATTATTTGAATGATTACTACATCGTATTAAAATTTCAGAGTACTCGAAGTAAAACGGTATCGTCAACCGATTCTGAGTCTACCGAAGGGCCTCTTGTGAGTAATGTTTTTAACACTATGTACTTATGTTAATAGAATATGGAGAGTGTTGGCCTAGCGTTTATAGCATAACTTTCAACCCTGAGACAGTCCATTATTTTAAAGTAAACTTCCTCGAACGGTACCTAAATGTAAATATCATGAGGAAAACGTTTTGTCTTGGAAACCAAATCGACGACACGCCTTGTATTAATTATCATCAAAGAAACTGATGCAATCTGAAAAGAGTTGCAGCGCTTGGTCGTAAGTTCTAACCCCGGCTGTGTACTGTTTTTTTAACACGGTACGGCTCGTACGGTGAAGGAAAACATCGTGAGGAAACCGGCTTTACTTGGATCTGAAAAGGCAACGGCGTGTGTCAGGCATAGAAGGCTGATGACCTACTTGTCTATTAGGAAAAATATGATTACGAAAATGCACAGAACTCTAAGGCATTTTTTAAAGTGCCAACTAAACGATCATATCTTTTTATCTTTAATGCATCCTTATAGATTGAAGACAGATGGACCAACAACATAAGTTATCGCCAGCTTGTTATTTCATCATGTATCGGAATCCTTCAAGTCTGGTGGCATCCGTATCTTCACGATTTTGCAAGATTCCTGCCATTTCTTTTTCTGTACAACGTGTTTAGTGTATTCTTCGCCTACCCATTGTTCTATTTGGAGCTAGCATTGGGTGTTGTGACGAGAAAGGGTGTATTGAACTGTTGGGATATGTCACCGTGTGCTAGAGGTAATTGTTTACTGTCATAACTCTAAACTCTGTATTTCAAACGGCTAATAATAATGTATCGATATAAGTTTGAATGTCTGGTTTACCTGTATCAAAAAGAATTTGAGTAGACAGCGATAATTAATATTATCGAGCAGTGAAGCCAAAGCAAATATACCAAATAAATAATGTATCTTATAAGAATAAAAATGTATAAGAATATAATTAACTATAATAAAGCATGCCCTCTCACAACATTGCTGTACCTAACCAAGATCCTTATCGTAATTAATTATAACGTGTCACGTGTAAAATATGAACATAAGGAATGCAATAAAGATTTGAGTTTGATGTGGAGGGAAGACACACTGTCTTGCGCTTTTGAGCCTAAAGGGACGGGCTGTTCCGAAGGCCTAGTGGCTGAGGTCACGAAGTTGTAAATACGCTTAGCTATCGGAAACACTGATAGCGCGATCCAGGATATTATGTCATTGTACTGATTGTAACTTAGGTTAGAACTCATTTGAACAAGTAAAACTTAATAATGTGGTTATTACAATTTCAAACATGAAAATGAGACAAACGTCTAAAAACACGGTTAACTTTCTTTTTTTTCCTACAATAAAGTTCACAAAAGAGAGTGCGTGCGTACCTACATGAATAATTATACGTACAATCTAGCCTATACAATAATGATGGCTAGTAGTAATAATAGTATGTTGACTTAGTTTTATACAATACTAGTGAATAACTTAAACTAACGTAATGTTCATTAACAGTCTTTGTGTTCTGTAATGTTTTGACACTATCTTTGTGTGTTCGAGGTACCGCACTTACACGATTCACTACAAAATTTAAAATGTTTAGTTCTCTTTAGGCGTCTTAATTCTGTTGTGTCAAAGAGAATTTGGACAGTTGGATTCGCATGGCTAACACATACTTCTAAATGCGACAATTTTAGATTACTCCATAAAACTTTGACAAAACAACTTGTCCTTTTACAGGTGTTGGAATAGCAATGCTCATTACTTCAATGTTCACTGTCATATCGTTGGGTGTTGTTAGTGCATGGTGTCTGGCGTTAACGGTCCATTCCCTGCATTCATTTCTACCCTGGCTGCATTGTGCTGCAGATGCGAATCCCCCGTGTGCTGCCAGACATCGCCCATTACCTGAGGGAAGTGAGACACCGGCGCAGTCTTTCTTTTTGTTAGTTACCTTCTGTAGCCACGAGTTTGCCGGCTTAAACAAGCCAACAACAAAAGATTTATAGATACCATTATACCATTTAGATTTCCTATCCAGTAGGTATGCTTAGAAATCTTCAGCGTGAATACGTGTTAATGCTGGCAGTATAATATTTTCGTATTTAGCAAAGCTTTCTTTAAGAGCAGTGTTGGCCAAAGCTTCAGCTTGCGACTCTCATCCCTGAGGTCGTAGGTTCGATCCCCGGCTATGCACCAATAGACGTTCTTTCTATGTCCGCATTTAACATTCGCTCGAACGGTGAAGGAAAACATCGGCTTGCCTTAGACCGAAAACGTTGACGGCGTGTCAGGCACAGGAGGCTGATCTCCTACTTGCCTATTAGATTAACAAATAATCATGAAACAGATGCAGAAATCTGGGGATTTCTCGCTGTTACAGCACCCTTAATTTTTAGTTTTGACATCAGTGTTTCATTATTCTTATCGATAATAATATCCTAAGAATGTTTTTATAGAGTTAACATAAAGTTTATTTGCAGTAATTTCGTACTGAATTTAAAAAGAAATGGACTCTCTGGTGGTCTCGGAAATGTGGTACCTGAGTTGACTGTGTACTATGTGATTAGTTGGATCTTGGTGTATCTTATAGCCTGTAAACGAATCTATAGTTATTCAAAGGTATTTAATTATGGTCTCAATTTATTCACGATTTTAATTTATTTTGATCTAGTGACATTAAAAGAATGAAGAAATTTAATAATATTTAGAAACATAGGGCAGGTATAATAATAATGGTAAGGTTTTCCTAGTACTGGATTTGCCTATTTTTATGAAGTAATATTTAATTTCTTAAAGGGTATTTATTTTTACAATCAAGTATACAGTATTAACAATTTTCTTAACCTACAAAGTAATAATAGAAATAATTAAAATGAAATGAATAGTAATAATTATTTCTAGTTTTAATATTTCTTAAAACTAGAAATATGCCGATAGTATTGAAAAGTGAGGTTCTATAATAACTAATTCACAAAATTCTTTTTCATTTAATGCTTATTTATCCATGCCTAAAACATATTGAAATAACATACAAACATTTAGAAGACCATAGACATTCTTATATCTGCTTACTTTACTTTCTGAAATTATAGATATTCCATTACAACATACAACTTTGTGGTACTGTTTTTAAATCTCGGTACTTTTTGTAGGAACAGACGTCTTTTTTAATTCTACCCAGCAGGATTGTACATTATTTTCAGATGGTATTATTCAAAGACGCGCTAACGTATTTCTCGTTAGTTGTATGCGCTGTGGGCGTGACCAGGCTTAATGGAGCGGGCAGAATGTTCAAAGAGTGCGATTGGGGTGTTCTTTTTAACGGTTTTCAGGTTTGTTTTTATAATAATAATAATATATTGCAAGAATATGGTACAAGAATGTGTCTAATGGTACAATCGTAAGTTCGCATATTCTGCCACATACAATAGCGCAAATCTGTCTTTAAAGGAATTTTACATTTTATATTATTAGTCATATGAATTGGTCAGTTCTTATATTATTTGTATCGTACGTATCATATCATACTTTATTAAATTTATATCAACTACAGTGTCTCACGCAAATAATCATTTATTGAATAGTAAATTTTTTCCAAAAACAATACACCAAGTCGATTTTTAAAGACTCTAGTCGGAAGTACTTTTAATTATTTTGGTAAATTATTGTAAAACTAAATTGCCATACAATTACGTATGGCTACCAGGTCTATAAAATAAAATAAAATCTTAATTATAAACTCATGGCGATATTTCCGGAGTAGTTGTCGCCCGGTCCCGGCGGTAGACGCCAACCCTTTAAGATAATAATGTCCCTTTTTAAGAAAGGGGAGATCTCGACACTCCGCTGCTGCTTAGCCACTCGGTCACATCTGCCTGATTGCGTGTCTGATAGGCTAGGATGTAAGGGTCTCTGTATATTTAAAAAAAAATTATAAACTCACTCTCTCTCTTTAATCGGCAGCTCATGTCTGAGCGCCGTGGTTAGCAACGAAGCATCTGGAGCGGACTATCTGTTTCCACCGGTTTCTGTCCTGTGACTCTCTTATCACAGTGTGTTTTGAGGACGATGAGTCTTTCACTTGATCGGTCCATCTGGTTGGTGAACGACCACGTGGTATTTTGCCTTCTGTGTTACCAACCACGATCAGTTTCTCCAAGCTCTCATCGCCTCTGCGCATTGTATGACCGAAATAAGATGCAATTCGCTGTAGGCATATGGTAGACGAGTCCGTATGCGGAGTTGGGTCAGAATCGATGTATTGGTGCGCTTCGTAGTCCACGGTATTCTGAGCATACGCCGCCAGCACCACATCTCAAAGACATCGATCCTTTGCCTTTCTCGAGCCAAGATAGTCCACGTTTCTACTCCATACAGGAAGATAGGGAACACTAGAGTCCGTATAAGTCTTATTTTGGTTTTGATACCAATTCCTCTTTTCTTCCAGATTTTGCCTACGTTTCATGGTATCTTTAGCCTTAAACTCACTATCGATAGTAAACAATATTTGTTATCGTTTTATTGAAGAGACAGTTAAAATGTAAAATCTGCTCGAGCTTTATTTTGTCTACATTTATGATTTTTGAATATCTTGACTGTATTTTTAAATTTTATATCTTAATACATTTTAGGTATGGCGCGAAGCGATCGAATATTCCTTTCTCCAGATGTGTGTATCACAAGGAACATTGGTAATGCTGGGATCCTACTGTCCCAAACAGAAGCAGAAGCTGACCAACACAGCGCTTCTTGCTTTCGCGGTATCCAAAACATGTTGTACTGGCACGGCCTTCATACTTGGCGCTGTGCATGGTGCCTTATATCTGGATTACGATAATAGTACTAGGATTTGGGGAGGTATATTTTTTTAAAATTTATTATAATTGACTACTTGCACTAGCGGAATATTGTCTACACTAACTACGTGTATGCGCCAGACGCGAACTCGTGTAGAATGAATGTTGTAATATGTAACTGTAAAATTGTGATCCGTAAAACTGTTTACTTGACGTATTATTTTGCGATACATTTTAATCTATTGAAGACAAATCGTTGAATTGGGACGTTTCATATCCGTCCTATACCATTGAATAACGCATGAACCCGCCCTGATTGTATTATAACAATGTTTACATTTTCACTGGTATACTACATATATTTGCAATTCTTAAGAGCGGGCTATAACCAAAATCACTCATCGTAGACTTGATTTCACCTAAATATGGGATGTTAGAATTATTAGTATAGATAATGTTTGGCAGACAATTACACATAAATATACTTGGGCCCAGGTGAGTAGATTTGCAAACGCGGTGCTCCGTTTGGTGGGGCTACACTTTACACGTTTAAAGAAAAGTTAAAAAGTTTAAGAGCGGACTCTTAAACTAAAATATTTGTCGTAATAGTTGTGTATCTGTTTGTAATAGTTGTATGTATTAATATTTGTTTAATAATCGAATCGCGGTTTTAGTGTCAATTATGTCTGGCACAGAAACGTATCAACTTCATTAATTTATTAAAATAGATTAATAGTAGTTCTTAAGATATAAATCAGTTTCATTGTTTTCCATTTCAGGAGCATCATCCTCAATCGTTCTCTGGTCTGACTACGTAGCACGAATACCAGGCAGCCAGTTTTGGTCATTTCTTATATTTTTCTCACTGTTTGTATTATCACTTTCGTCTATGGTAAGTTTATAACTTTATCTATAACCGTCCTTATCATCACCTACTCGACCCCTTCGTTCTTGTCTATGGCAGTAATTCAACCTCACACAAGAGTTATTAAACTACACTCATCTATTTCAGGCACTACTAGTTCAAACAATAATATCAACGTTCACAGGACGACTCGTTCGGAAAATAACATGGGCGTTTCTTATATTAATTTGTTTTCTCCTTTGTTTTATTGGCATCTTAACTCTTTGTACTCAGGTAAGTAAGTTTTTATAAATTTCAAAACTTGTTTTGAATTTGTAAATAAATGAAACAAATTCTAATTACTGAAAAGTCTTTCCGTAAGTAAGTAAATTGTAAAGATTTATTTATTTATTTTCCTTATTTCCTATTTTTACAGTAACTTAATACTAATACAATAGAAAACTAACGTAAAACATAATATAAACATAACAAGTAAAAACTTACAAATAAGATGCTTGATTTGATAGCATAACATAAAAAGAGAAATGCGTCTGCACTGCTGGGGTTCAAAACTTCAAAGCAAACAAAAAAAGACAAATTCAAAACTTGTATATTGATGGGATAGAGGAAATTTCCCATCGTACAACATTGATCTAAAGTTTTGTTTTAGGGCGGACTTTATATCCTAAATTTCCTGATGCGGTGGCCAGTTTCGAAGCCCAGAGCACCAATAGCTGCTGTCCTTACACTCGTGGTTACTTTTGTCTACGGACAAACTGCCTTCTGTGAAGACGTGTATTTCGCTGTCGGAGAATATCCTAGCGTTTTCTTGAGAATCTGTTGGGCAGTGGCACCGTTAATATTGATGGTAGATATTGTAGTGTTATTTATATATAGCTTGCAAATGTAGCTGTTTTAAATTATCAAGTACTATTCAAAAATATCTCAAAGAATACAGCAAAAAAATGTTTATCTGTCAATATGTTGGCAGACGAAGATCACGAATTCTTAACGGTTTCTGGAGATTGCATTTAGCTTGTAGAATTTAGGCAGGAAAAGTTATGGGCAATACTAATTAATATTTTACGAGGATTTAATCGCAGACAAGTCATAGCTCATACAAGTGACGATATTGATTCTACAAAACGACCGTATTCCCGACTCTTCCACTTATTCAGTGTTAGAAACCCTTAAATTTGTAGACGTCAAGTACAATTCTCTGCAGGTTTTAGTAATGGAGGCAATTTTTTGTCAGAGCACATTTTTATCGGGAATATCGTATGGGCCGTTTGAAGCAGGCATCGGTTGGACGCTGGTCTCATTGACGTTGGCTCCAATAGCGATCGTGATGCTGCTGTATCTTATCTTCAAATTTAGAGTCAGGGTTTGTATTTATAAGTTATTCACTAGTTACATGACATCCAGAACTGCGTTTTTGACACAATACATCATCCCATAGACTAGAAGAATAATATCTATTCTTTTAATGAAAACCTTTTTTCAGGATTTCTTTTTGCACATGTGTGGCAAAAATTACGAACATTAAATTTAAGATACTAATTTATTATTTAATTTCAGAATATTATCAACGAGAAGTGAATAACCTCATATAAAAATAAAAGAACTTTTCAGAATGACACCATATTTTATTCACATTTTTTTTTCAACACCAATTAGTTACCAAAATAAAGGATTATTTTATAATTAATCATACACACATTAGTTCAACAAGATGATTATCATAGATAGACGTTAAATATATTTAAACAATTTAAATATAGAAACCAGTCTAATCTATTATAACCAAAAGGAGCATTTTTAAACAAAAATATTGTTCAAGCCGATTACAAAATTCCTACACTCTCAATAAATTGCATTGACAGTAAAAAAAAGTTTAAACCATTTTGTTATAATCTGGTCTAATACCTGTTTTGAGAAAAAATACTCCTTATACAGCCTTGGACCTTATCTAAACTAAAAATAACTTAAACAATCAACCTTTCATATAAAAATAATAAAATAGTTTTAAGATACTGTGTACATTAACCTAAGTAGATAGACCGCTGAAATTAATTCATACAATTCTATTGCACTGGTCTAAAAACGCGTTGAAATGTATAGTTCAAATTCTCATTGCCAAGATCGTTGCGACTAGATGCTGAAAAATGGATACCGTTTATGTACAAAAGATTATATTAAACCGAAACCCAATTCTTGTCTTATGTAAAATAATCAAACCAGAAAAAAATCGATATTTTTATTATAGTAAATTATATTAAGTAAAGATAGAGCCTATTTATTTAAAATATCTATGTAATTGACGCAATTTGACATGGGTTGGGAAAAGATGGCGGTGTACAATCTAAAAGATATACTGATATTACGTAATAATATATAACAAATAAATAATTTATTGATTGTGTTATGCAGAATGATTGTCATTAAAAATTTCAAACTGTAACAAATCAAGTACTTCATAGAAAATTGATAAAAATTGTTTTATAATACAGGCTGAAATTATATATTGGCACTGATCACTCTAGATTGGTCGTATCTCTTTCACACTTATAAACAGCTATATATGTAAAAGCGAGCTAGCAATACCACTCACTTACCGATTTTAAAAATAACTATATTAGGAACGTCTCTACAACAGCCTACTTATATACAATTTTGTTATATTTACATTGATCGAACGCTGGCATAAAATAAGGGACCGAGAATTGTGATTTCAGATAAATACATTTTAAGTCTTCGCGTGTTTATAGCTCCACTGATAATTATTCAAAATATATATATCTGAACATCGTTTTATAGAAATCTAGAGGGTAGTTTTAAAAGAATCAATCCCAATCAAAATCACAGCCAACTGCGTTAGGACTGCGGTTACAAAATATACTTATACGTTTAACTTAACCGCGTATTCCAAAGCAGACTCAAATGTAAAGCATTAAGCCTACCATTCAACATCAGGTTGAGCAAATAAAATAAACTCACGCGCAAATTACTTGCAAAAAGTCTGCTACTTTTATTTAACATCTACGTTGATTAAACGTATAGTAAGCCTTCCAACCAAATCCGATTAAACTCCATCCATTTCATACATTTACTCAAACTTAGCTTAATTCTTTTATAGCTATAAATACCGAAAGAAAGTCTGAATCTCTAAATTAAAGTGAAGCAGCGAACAATGAAACAATTCCGTATAACTAAGGCAGCATCGTGGTTAACTTATACTAATGTGCTTGTTAAATAAACATAACCCATTCAGTCTTAGCCTACACTATTTGCGTTATAAACGAATACACGAAGTATATGAAAATGAAATATGGAAAAGCGATTAATAAACATTTGGTTACCAAACTTAATGATCGATGCGTTGTAAGTTTTACTTATTTCATTTCCGAAAATGTTTAGGTATTGAATGAACCTTGACATTAAGTATGGTACATCTAACAAAAATATTTAAATACATTATGAAAATATCATTTACATGTTTAGGAGTAGCACCTAGTTTAAATATTTAAAGGTAATTAATCTTTAAAGTGTTACTCCCATGAAGTCCGAAACAGGTAAACTTGATTCTACTTTTTATTTCGACCACTTTACACTGACTTCACTAAGCTGTGATAATTGCGTAATTAGCCATAACATCACCTTAATTAAAAATACCCAGCGAGACAATTATTGGGAATATCATATAACTGGTAAGGGACTTATATGACCGTTTATTCAATTAGAAAGTAATTAAAATATAGGCAATGCCAATGTTGCGTAATATTAATTAATTAAAGAATAAACATTCCACCAAAATGCAAATGGTCTGCGTTATACTATGTCCAAACATTTACTTTTGCCATTGAAAAGCTCCAGGTGAAACTCAGTACAATACGTTTTTTTAACTTTAATTCAATTAAAGAGGGGCAAAGATTATAATAAATCCTGGACAAAGCTTACAAAAATTAAAGGAACATTTGCCTAAATAAATCTATTTAGAAAATATCTCATATAGAAAAATATCTAGCGATTGCATTGCCAATCTACACTATGCACTATCTATCTACCCACAATCCAAAAACAACCAAATTTGGGAAAAGCTAACTTTTGTAACATAACCTTCGTTAATTTTTAACGATTGTAAAATCACCTAATTTTTAACTAACTTTTTTTTAGTTCACTTGGATACTCACCAAATGGTGTTTTTTTTGTTATTTTAACACTTCAGTAGATTAAAAGACTCGAAATAATTTACGTCCACAATGAAGAAATAACATTGAGATGAGATCAGGAAATTGTTCAACCGGCGCAAGAAGACAAAAAAGCATAAAATATCTGTTAATGCAATTTAGATGTTAGTTAAAACCCATTAATACGATTAATTTTATTATTAATTAAATATATTTGCCTTTTGCGCAGTGATACGAAATTCGTATACAAGTACTAACAAAATGTAGCTTTTTGGATTTCCCACCAAAGCATTACTCGAGTAATTAACAAGATATATTTATAGAATTAGAGATCATCCAATTTATTATCAATTCAATCCATCATTTATGTAAGGTCTCTGTAAATGATGGATTGTCAACCACACTTTAACTATTCATGGTCAAAGGATGATTTAAATAGATTTTTAAGCATGTTTTAGCACAAGTTGAACATTGGTTAATTTAAACTCGAGTAATGCATTGAAGGCACAGAATAATATTAAAAACAGTCGCCGGACAAATCTATTTAACACTTAGAATACCCATATCACATTCCGTGCCGCGTTTTCTATGCCTATGCTTTAGTCCCTTTTCACAGCCAAGTTTCGATAAATTTCAATCAATTTCGAAGGACGGGAATTTTGATTTTTCAGTTTTTGATATCACTACGAGAAAACCGTTGCATCGTTGACAACAAATGTCAAAGGTAAACGATAAACAAACACTAGCTATAACGCACCATAATTTGCAGCAATAGAAAACACGGCCAAACCTCGAGCACCAATTCCATAACAACTTAATAGCAACAATCCGTATCGGAATTGCAACCGCCTCACCGTATTCTATACAATTTCTCTTCTTTCTAAACTTGTATTTCATTGGCTCACGTCAATACGCCTGTATCAATTATACAAGAGTTTTAGGGTATGAATTTAATTAGAGTTTCTAAGATACAAAAATAATATAGAAAATCCAGTACCCTCACGTTACATTCAAGCCGGTCAACCTCTCTATAGAACTATTTTTAAATTCCTTTTTTTTATATTTTTTACATAAGTTCATGCCTTATTAGTAAAACCTGTACACGAGCGTATTTACAACAGTCCAATATAGAATTTAGAAACTAAAACAACAAAATCCGAATATTTACAAATTCTTATATACAAGATATAAAAAGTTAATTTTCAAATTATTAGCGCGGTTAGAAAAAAACGCATCTTTGAAACCCAAAACAGAAATCAATTCGTTGTGCTGTAATCGGTAGGCAAAGTTTGTAACTTCATCCGTAAACATTTAACATTAGCACTTAACTACACCATCACTTTAACACTTAACATTTTTAGTTCAAAGGTCCAAACGACAAGCCTACAATCGGTCCAATTTTGACTGAAACCGGTCAAAATTGGACCGATTACCCGAACCCAATCCATTGGCCGAATATCGATTTAAAGCCAAGTATGGGCTGAGGCCCTTATTCAGGTTTTCCCGGGGCCCGATGAGCTGGCAAAGTATCATGCCTCCGGTACATCAATAGGTAAGGCATTCTTGGCGCTTTTGGCTTTAAGACTTGGGCGTCTGTCACTTGAGTCACAGTGGAATCGTCGTACCTGAAATGTAATTTAATATTAAGTTTTGGTTCATTGTGACCTCACAGTGAATATTATATTGAGTTCCTCAGATTTGTTTGACCACATTTTGTTATTTTATAACGTTCGGAGACGAAAAATAATGACATCATTGAAAAATCCTAGAATAATTTTGAACGGTTTTTACTTATTACAAAAGATTTGAATTTAAACACCAATCCCCACCAGTATTGCAATACTGTAGACAAAAAACTTTTTTTAGATGCCTACCTTTATTATTATAAAATTTGCCATACATACAATAAGGTTAAAAGAATTTAAATGTCTCATGACCGAAAGGACAATTTTAATAAGGATTGTTACAGAACAAAATAAAAAATCAACATCCTAAATTCTCTTTTACTTTAAAAGTTGGTAAAAAATATTAAAATATCAAATTTAGAACTAGACACCTTCAACGTATTTTGCTAATTTAGTAGTACAAAATAAAATTTGCTACTTAAGCCTTTATTGAATAACTTAATAAAACCATTTACTACTAGTCGAACCACTAAACTTAACTACTAATACATACCTTATCCACCCGGCCTGTCCATGGTAAGTATCAGTTAGGTAATGCCCCTTCACTGCTTCGACACCTTCGTGGTATACCACAGCAAACAATTTGTACAGGCGCTGCTTAGTCGTGTGCTTGCACGACATTATCTCTGCAAAATTTCATCAATATATGTAGAACTTGTCTCTATCTGTTGATA